AGGCTATAGAAGATTGGATTATTACATTATCGAAATGTGGTTTTCCTTTAAAAATGGAGGATTTGAAAAATACTGTTGCTAAAATTGTCCTTGATGATGGCAGAAAAACTTCTTTCAAGAACGATCGACCTGGACGAAAATGGTGCTCTTTGTTTTTGAAAAGACATCCAAATATTGCTTCCAGAACTGCTGAAGGAATTTCGAAAGGTAGAGCTGTAGTAACAGAAGAAAGTTTAAGGAAATGGTTTAGTGAGTTGTCCGATTTTCTTAACGAATTCAATCTCATGGAAATTTTTCTCGATCCACGAAGAGTCTTCAATGGAGACGAAACTGCATTCAGCTTATGTCCAAAAACAGGTAAAGTTCTGGGACCTAAAGGATGGAAGAATATTTACTCCATACAACAAGGAAATGAGAAAGAAACAATTACTGTCCTTATGACTTTTGCGGCTGATGGAGAAACTGCTCCACCAATGGTAGTTTTTCCCTATGTTCGTTCACCTAAAGAGCTCGTGAATAGTATCCCAGAAGATTGGATTTTGGGAAGGTCTGACTCCGGATGGATGACAAGTCCAATATTTTTTGAATACGTATGCAATGAGTTTAACGCCTGGCTCATCAAAAAGAAAATCCCAAAACCTGTCATTCTTTTTCTTGATGGTCACAAATCGCACTTATCCATGCACTTGAGTGAATTTTGTGATAAAAATGGGATCATTATATATTGCTTGCCTCCAAATGCCACTCATCTCATCCAACCAGCCGATGTCAGTGTTTTTAAACCTCTTAAAAGTTATTGGAAAGAAACAGTCCGTGATTGGCAAATGGAACCAGCGAATATTAACAATTGCCTAACAAAAACAACTTTTGCACCTCTATTGAAAAAGACGCTGGACAAAAATTCACTGGTCGAAAGTATTAAAAACGGATTTAGAGTTTGTGGTCTTTTTCCATTGAATCCAGATGCATTGGATTACACGAAATGTGTTAAAAACAACTTGGAAAAAGCTACGAACTGCTCACGTTATTTTAGTAAAAGTGTAATAAATGAAGAATCTCTAGAGTTTGCCGAGAATTTAATCAAAGATTTGGAACTCCGATTTGAGAAAAAAGGAATTGATGTTCAAGCAATTATTAATGTCCTTAGAGAAGTGAAGGAAGAATGCGCAAAGATATCAGTTTCGGCTATTGATGATTTACCTGCATCTCAGATGGAGAATAATTCAATTGAGAATGCACAATGTAAAAAAAACAAAATTCCTCATTTTAATCAAAATATTTTATATAAACCTATATTTTATTTATTATATTTTATTTAACAAATTTAATTTAGTTTTTAATCAATTTAATAAATATTTAAAAATGTAATAATTATATTTTATACAATAGTCATTTTGGCAGAAAATTCAGAGGTTATAACTCCACCAATAGTAATCGAAATTGAAGACGATTTTTTGGTTGAAAAGGAAAATAATTCTGACTTGGCAATTGATTTAACAATCAAACCGAGACTTGACAATATTATTCAGGAGCAGAGTGTTTCTCAAATCGGTAAATTTTATATTATTTTTTAGACATTTCTGGTTTTAAGTATATTAATTTTTTATTTATTATTATATCAATTTTTATTTAAATTTAACCAAGATTTTTAATGTATTTTACTAAAATTTTATAGTCGCTGAAGTTTTGAAATATCGAAATACAGAAAGTTCTGTAATGCAAAAACCAAAAAATAAAGATCTCTCGGTTATAGATGATTTACCTGCATCATCAATAGAAAATACTTCAAATGCGAATGCACAATGTAAAAAAAAATTCCTCATTTTAATTAAAATAATTCATATAAACCTATATTTTATTTATTTTATTTAACAAATTTAATTTAATTACTAATAAATTAAAAAAAATTTAATAATCATATTTTATACAATAGTCATTTTGGCAGAAAATTCCGAGGTTATAACTCCACCAATAGTAATCGAAATAGATGACCATGTTTTGGTTGAAAAGGAAAATAATTCGAATGAAATTATTTTATCCGATACACTTGACAATGTTATTCAAGAGGAGAGTGTTTCTCAAATCGGTAAATTTTATATTATTTTTTAGACATTTCTGGTTTTAAGTATATTAATTTTTTATTTAAATTTAATGAAGATTTACAATTTGTTTTACTAAAATTTTATAGTCGCTGAAGTTTTGAAATATCAAAATATAGAAAATTCCGTAATTCAAAAGTCAAAAAATAAAGAAGCAACATTATCAAAAGCATTCTCCGATCACTTATTTTATCCAGAAATAGCAGGCAAATCTAAAAAATCGAAGGAAAAACCACCCAGTGCTATTTCTAGTCAACGCTGGCGGGAATTCATAAAGGAAAAAGAAGCAATTAAAGATGCGTTAGAAGAAGAAAAGGCGATTAGAAAAGAAAACAGATTAAAACGAAAGGCAGAATTAGAAATTTCGAAAAAAGACGGAAAATGTACAGAGAAAAAGAAAAAAAAATGCTCCAAAAATTTACAAGCAACAGATCAACCAAAAAAACGAGGAAGACCGAAAAAAAATTAATAAAAAATGAATTATTTAAAATTAAAAAATTTTGTACTACAATTTAATTATAATTAACCATTATATTTACAGTTCATAATAAAAGTTTATTTTATTCGTTTACAAAATTTAATGTGACTAAAAATTAATTTATTTTTTCAATTAATGTCTGATTAACAAAATTGATTTAATTTAATAAACTTATTTATAAAAAATTAAAAAACAGTTAAAAAAAAAAAAAAAAATTTCTGTGCTGTATCATCTACTATAAAAATGTTTTATATCGATATTATAAATTATTCAATTATAGTTAAATAAATATATTTGTTTTCTGGTAATGTTCTATAATATTTTTATCGAAAAAATAAATATCTACTCGATTTTCAAATATCTGTACAGGTTAATTATTAGGTTATATTGGGTTATATGTTTAAAAATGTCATACCCTCGACAATTGGAACAGACCCTCGAGAAATTAGCACAAGACCATCGACAAATGGTGCTTTTGCTCGATTGACTTTTAAATATATTTTTTGCTTAACAATTTAGTTTATATTAAAAAAATAAATATGAATATTAAACATTATTAAATTCTTTGTCCAAATATACAAAAATCAAAATTTGAAGTGCATTTACTTCCGAGAAAAAAAATGTCAAAGTCACATGTTGCCTAAAACCCTCGACAATTGGTACAGTTACCCTATCTGATAATTAATGTAAGTTCAAAATTATCTTTGGGGACTTATTGAACTAAGGAAAGTAGTTAAAAAGTAGTCAAATCTACTAAGAATTTTTTTCAGTGTAACGATTTCAAAATTTTTCCAAAATTTTGACATCTCAAAAACTACTGAATTTTGACAAAATTAAAAAACTATTATTGTTCAAAAATTATTGTAAAATATTTTTTAAAAATTAATTGTAAGAATTCTTTTTTATAATTTTTTGAAAATATTATACCTTAATAACTTAAGAAAAAACTATGGAAAGTCACAATTATTATAAAAAATTGAGTTTATGTATTTATATAATTGAATTCTAGAAGAACTTTTGGTTTTTTTTATTATTTTTTGTTTGGCTGTAGACAACCATTGGCGGGGTTGATAATAATAATAATTATTTTTTATTATAATTATTATTATTAGAATAATTATAATTAATATTTTTAAGCGCGATAGTGAAATACGTGATTTATCGAACGAATAGAAAAGAAGAAAAATCTCCAACTAGACTTCAAATGCAGATATGTATGTATATTATTTTTTTTTTCAAAAAGAAGAAATAAAATAAGACATATATGTGCAAGTATGTTATAAAATCCGTATATATACGTCTGCAGTGAACTGACTAGTTTTTCCTCGGTAACATAATGAGCGAGTCAGTAGAAATTTCCTGACATTGAAGTGCAGCAATAGAAAAAAAACATGACAAATTATAGTTAATGTTACAAAGTGCGCATTTTCCTCCAGTGATAAGATAATGAATAAAATAGCAATCATTGTATATAATAAATTTTACAATATATTATATACAATGTACTTTAAATATATGTTATAATTAATTACCTAATTAACCGTTTAATTACTGAAAGAATTCATGAAAAAAAAATTTCAAAATTAATTATTTTTTATAGTATTTATAAAATTTGGTGTTTGATAGAATTTAATTATTTATTTGGCACAATTGAAATGTTTACTTTGCACATTTATGATATTGATAGATAAGGGTTAAAGATCAATAATAAAAGAAATTTTACAAAAGTGAGATTAGAGAATGAAAAAATGAAACAGAGTTTTTAAATACTATTTTTAAATATTTTTTTATTATTAATTCGCATTACTATTAGAATATGTAATTTTTTGTTTAAAAATTAAATTTATTAATAATTAATATATTTATTTATTTTGAAATAATATTTTACAAATTAATTCTTTTTATATGGAAATAAAATAAATAAATGAACTTTATTTATTTAATTATTAATTTAATTTTCAAACTAATTCAATTTTTTTTAATTATCGAATTTAAATTGTTTAAATTAAAAATTTTAGGGTAGAGTGGGGTAAAAAAGCCACTTTTTTCCTTTTTACGTTATATAATCGGTATTTAAATTTTTTTTTTTAAATTTCCAACTGGTATTGAAAGTTCAGTTATTAAGCTTGAAAATTCTTCACCGAAATATTTTTTATCCCATGAAAGGACTAAGTTATAAGAGTTTTACGAAAGTACTGTAAGTGGCTTTTTTACACCACCTGGTGGGGTGAAAAAGCCACTTTACGATATTTGCAAAATATGGAACAAATTTTTGGTTTCTTTATGTTTTTTCTTTATTATTTGACAAATAATCTTATTTTAAGAATAGTTTAATAAATTTAAAAGAGTTTTAATAATAATTTTGATTGAAAAGAATATAATAATTATATAGAATGTTTAAGAAAAATCTTCCTCCTTCCCGTTCAACAATCTGTTTTTCTTGGTCGTCCACGACCACGTTTAGTATCGCTGGAAGATGCTTGAGAAGTCTTCGATTTATTCGCTTCGCGCAAAATTTTCCTTTTTACTCTCTCTGATGACGCTTTAGTTTTCCGCAATTTATTTTGGGCAGCAGTTTCTTGTTCAAGGCGTAAAGCCTCCATTTCTTCGGAGTCTGTTAAAATTGCGCATTTTCGGCGTTTACGGCCACGATTACTAATTTTCCTCGGTGCTGCTTTTGGGAAAGGACGAACGTTTTCAATAAGAGAATCCAAATTAACCACATCGTTTTCTTGGTCTTCAGTCTCAACGTGGTTTGCCATCTCTTGTTCCACGTTTGGTACTTCGTCTGTGACTGGGAGCGAATCTTCTGGAGAGCGATTTGTGACTTCTGATGGCAAAAAATCCTCTTCAGTAAAAATACTGTCATTTAGTGGAAATATTCCGGTTACTCTAAAGCCTGCTTGTATGTTCAGAATTGAAGCACCTTTTTGAATCGGTTCTTGAGCAATGCCGGGTATGTCATGCATGGTGATCGTTTTTGCCGCATTCATTGGTAACCGCATCCAATTATCGCAAGCTGCATTAAAATGTCGCTTTATTGGACCAAAAACTCCTTTATCAAGAGGTTGCAGTTTATGACTTGTATGCGGTGGTAGCGACAAGACGATAATTCCATTTTCCTTACAGAAGTCCAAACCAGCTATCGTCAAGTGAGATTCGTGGTTATCTAAGATTAAAAGTACTGGTACCTCGACCGACGGGTGAGCAAATCTTTTGAAATGTACCAAAAATTTCGTAAATTGCTCTGCTTGCATCCATCCCGAAGCATTTGCTGCACCATCAGCACCAAATCCAGCACTTGTAAGAAAATGGTCTTTAAACATGATCCTAAAGTTCTGAACGTTCAAATGAACGAAATTTATTTTCTTCTTCTACAATATTAAATTTTTATTATAATATTTTATGTCACTATGAATAAAATTAATTATAAAGATTCTAAATATAAAACTTATGCTTTTAATCTGTATTGCAATCAGTAATTTATGAAAATATTTTTAATAAAAAGTATTTCGTTCATTTGAACGTTCAAAACTTGTGGATCGTCTTTAAACTTCTTCCTTGGAAATATGTAAAAAGGTGGTAAACAGACTCCTGTTGCAGATACGGCAAGAGCTAGTGTAACTAAAACACCACGTTCGGCTGATGTAATGGATCCTATATTTCGAACACCTCTCTGAGCAATGACGGCTACTGGTTTTTGAACTGTTGTCAATGCTGTTTCATCCATGTTCCATATATTCTCCGGGTTAATGTTGAATCTCTCGATCACATCTTTCAACTTAGTGAAAAACATAGACACATTGTGTTCATTAAATGCAGTAGCACGACCCAAACTTGTTGCTTGTGGTTTACGCAACGATAAGTCAGGATGACGACGCATAAAACTAAGCATCCAATCTTTGCTCGCAGAACCCTTTTGTCCAGATACTGTTCCCTTCCAACTTGGAGGAATATATGAGATTTGACCTTTACTTTTTAATGAGACGGCATATTCATACGCAAGTTGTCGAGCTGCGGTGTATGAAAATCCATGAAAAATAGCAGCAGCTTTCAGAAAATACTTTTTTAGTGATGTCTCTTGAATTTAGGAAAAAATCTGTAAATTTTTTTTAATGTTAGTGTGCAAAATTGTTTATATTAAGTTTTTAACGGTTTGTTTATTATTGACACTAAAAATTATCATTTACTTAATAATGAATAATTTTTTTTATTAATTTATATTATTTATTATATTATGTTTAATATTTATTTTTAAAATTTCTATATTTATGTTATAATTTATACGGATATTTTAAAACATTTTTTTAAATAAAAAAAAAAATTTACCTGTTTGTTATTCCTAGTGTCTGTTTTCCAACCTTTTTCTATACGTCCTCGTAAGGTTCCACGAGGAATATTATATTTTTTAGCGATTGTATTAATTTTCTCTCCTTCTCTTATTTCCTTTAGTGCACTCTGAATCGTAGTTTCGTCGTGTTTAAGTAATTTTTTCACGTAAACACGAGGCATTTTGTTAAACGAAAAGGTTAAAATAAATGCAAAACAAATGAAATTCACATAATTTTGAGTGGCTTTTTTATCCCACCAGGTGCTTGGCTTTTTTACACCCAATGCCAGTTTTACAAAAAACTATAATAAATTTGAAAATTAGGTCGATTTCAAAAAATGAGCATTGCATACGTCTTAAGTATAGTTTTCTCTTTATGTACAAACGTTTACTTTTCGTTTTTGTTCACTTAAACAATTTTTAATATGTTTAAAAGTTGATCGAAATTTTTTTCGCAGAGCCACTCAAAAACAAAAATTCCAATAAAAACTATAATATTATAGATACAACATCCAAACTAGAATCAAAAGTTGCGTATTACATAATACTACTTATATTTTAAATGACTGATAAATCGGCTTAATAGTTTTTAAATAAAACTCAAATGGCTTTTTTACACCATGGCTTTTTTACCCCACTCTACCCTAAAATAAATAAATATTATCCAAAACTAAAAAAAATTGTAATTAATACCTAATTATATAGTTATTCTTGTAGATAAAAAAAATAAATACAAGAAATAAAAAATATTTTTCCATAATAAAACAATAAATAAAGAAAAGAAAAAAAAACTATTTTTTATAATAAAATAATAAATAAATAAATATACAGAAATAAAATTTTTTTATATTAAAACAACAAATAAAGGGCATTTTTTTCTTTCTAAGCCCGTTTATATGCGTATAAATAAATAGAAAAAAAATATTTATTGTAAAAAAATAAAAAATAAATTTAATTAATAATTATTAGGATGTAAGTCGATAAAAAGCATATACATAACAACGCAAAGCGCCCCTCGTGAAAATACACAAAAGCTAAGAATAAATATATCTATCGTGGTCAAGCATGTAAGCCTGACCTAGTTAATTCACCACTATCATCCATGTTCATTAAATATGTGAGACCGGTTAATACACAGGTGAACATATGCGTTTATAATATATAAATACATCGTCAACAAAACAATGTCTTAAATCACAAATTTTTATCCCCATATATCAGAGAAATTAATTTCAAAATGAAAAAAATAAAAAAACAAAAAAATATAATAAAAATATGTTTCATATTTATTTCACAAAAAAAATAGATAAAAAATAATTCAAGGCAATTTGCACAAAAAACCATTTATTAATTCTTCAACTTTTTCCTCCTTTTACCGTGATTTGTTATTTTTTTTGGGGGGTTTTTTAAATCGAGAATGAATTTATTTTTCAATAAAATATATTTATGCGGTAAATCTTAATAAGCCTTGAGGTGTGTAGTAAATAACATATTTAATAATAATAATAATGTAATTAATTAAAGGACACACGTACGTTTTCTGTGCTAGTAATTAATAAAAATAAATAATAATAAAAACTTTGCATTTTATACATTCGAATTTAGAAAATATTAAATTTGCAGGGCTCGAAGCAGTGAAAGTATTTAAAAATACGGACTTTACGGACCAAAATTTAAAAATTACGGCCGAATCAAATAAGAGAACATTTTACTTAAAACTAGAAAATCAATTTTTCATAACTATAAAACATGAAGAAATAATAATAATTACTAATAAAAATAATTTATAATAATTAAAATCATTATCAATTCAATTATTATTTTTAAGAATTTTTATCCATAAAATTCTTCTTTATATCGATTATTTTTAATAATTTTCGAAAAAGTTCTTTGACAATTTTCAAATTCATTTCTTTACAATATTCAATTTTACGAAATTTCAATTATTCGTAAATTCTTTAATTAAATAAATATTAGAAAATAGAAACTAAAGAAAAATATTTAAAAAACTCAATTAAACTTTTTCAAAAAAATTAATTACAAAATTCAATTATTTTTGAAAACGTTTCTTTAAATTCAATTCCCATAAAAAATCGTTATCAACAAATTTTCAAATAATTGAATTCTATCAACGAATTTTAATAAAATTTTTAAGAATAATTTACATTTTTCGAGAAATTCGGTTAAAATTATTATTGTATTAAAAATAATTGAAATTCTGCATTGAATTTTATTATTTATGAAAATAATTGAATTCTTGCGAAGAATTTTATTAAAATTTTCAAAAATAATTAAATTCTTGTAAAAAATTAACAGGAATTCAATTATTTTTAAAAATTTTAATAAAATTCTTGGCATAAATTAAATATAAAACAAAATTCTTAGCAGATCTTCAATTACTTTCAGAAATTTTAATAAAATTTTTCGCAAGAATTAAAATATTTTCGTAAAATAATAAAAATCTCTGCATAGATTTAATTATTTTCAAAAGTCTTAATAAAATTCTTCGCAAGAATTCAAACATTTTAAAAAGTTTTGATAAAACTTTTTTTGGTAGAAATTCAATTATTTTTAAGACAATTTTGATAAAATGTTTCAATAAAATTCAATTATTTTTAAGATTTTAATGAAATTCTTCGAAAGAATTCAATTATTATAATCTAATATTTTAACTGAAATTTATTTTTAAATCAATGTTTATGAGAAAATTCTACCAGAATTCAATTATTTTAATACAAAAATAAATAATTTATTGACTAATTGAATGTTTCTTGGAATTCAATTCCTGTTAAAAATTTTATCAACAAATTTTTAAATAAGTTAAGAATTTTTTCGAGGAATTCGATTAAAATTCTATTGAAAATAATTGAATTCCTAAAAAGAATTTTATTAATTACGAAAATAATTGAATCCCCGTAAAAATTTTATTATTTATGAAAATAGTTGAATGATTGCGAAGAAATTTATAAAAAAAATTTTGTTATTAATGAAATTCTTGTGAAATTGTTATTATTTTTTGAAAATAATTAAAAGTTTTTGTAGAATTTTATTAAATTTTTTTTAAATAATTAAATTCTTTTCGTAAATTTTATGAAAATAGTAGATATTGAACATAATATATAATTTTTGCGAAGAATATTATTACTTTTGAAAATATAATTGAATTTTATTATTTTAGAAAATAATTGAATTCGTGTGATAAATATTGTTAATTATGAAAATAATTGAAATTTTGTAATGAATTTTAATAAAATTTTTGAAAATAATTTAATTTTGTGGAAAAATTTTGCTATTTATTTATAAAGATAATTGAAATGTTAACAATGTTTTTTCAGATTTTTTGAAAATAATTGAATTTCGGAGAAGAATTTTAATATTTCTAAAAATAATTGAAATTTTGACGAGAATTTAAAAAATTTTTTGAACAAAATTGAATTTTTGCGAAGAATTTTATTACTTTTAAAAATAATTGACTTTCTGCAGTCATTTGTAATTTCTCTAAAATTCTCAAAATTATATCGTACAATTTACGAACTTTTCATTCTTTTTGAATGAAATTACGGACTTTACGTACCTTTTTTCAAAAAAACGGACTTTTACGGACTTGAAGCAAAGTTACGGACTTTTTCAGGATTTACGGACCTACTTCGAGCCCTGATAATAAATAAAAACTTTGCACTTTTTACATTCAAATTTAGAAAATATTAAATTTCAAGAAAGAAATAACGAACAAATAATTACTAATTATGTAATTTCCCTGTCAATAATTATCATAAATTATTATTCATTAATTTTTATACAAGAAAAAACTTTTATTTAAAAAAAAAATGGTAGTTTTAATTTTTTATTTGTCAAAGTTATTTTGTGAAACTATAGAAATTATTGGAGTTTATAAAAGAAAAGTAACGACAAAAGAAAAAAAGTTTAAGTGCGCGCGAGAAAATCTATGTGTGTATTATGAAATGATACAAATAATACACATACATATATAAGTATCTCAGTGAAAACTGGAAAGTAAGTTATGATATTAAATGTATCATTATAATAGAAAAACACCTAATAAATTTTTAATGCGCATACGCAGTATATAAACTATTTTATATGCTTATATATTGCAGTTCCCCTTATTTCGACTCGACCATGGCCGTCCATTTATCTGAGGCTATTTAATTCCACATATACATGCTATAACTATATAGTTCGTTGTCTGAGAATTAAATCAACTCCCAGGATCAATGTCGCCAAACGAAACATTGTTTTCTCCCCTAAAAAAAAAATTTAAACTCCATTTCTCTTTGTTATAATATTTTTAGGGTTGCCACGCTTTTGCTCTTTTCAAATTCCCTGACTTTTCCAGGTTTTCCAGGTTTTTAAAACGAAAATTATTCGAAAACATGAATAACTTCATTTTTAAATAAATATTTAATATAAAATTTATTTAATATATAACATATAAGAATATTATTGTAAAACATGAAAATATCGATCACTCCGAGTCGAAGAGTCGGAGTGATCGATATCTTCATGTTTTATAATAATTAAAACTTGTTACTTTGTTACTGTAACTTCTTCAAAAATTATTTTCATCATTACAATTATCAGGCCTCGGATCGACTTTAAGGGGCAAAAAAAGTCGCTTTAGTCGATTTAAAATAGAAAAAAAGTCGAAAAAGTCGTTTATTTAAGGGGAGACCCCACCTTAATTTTGACCCCTTTAAAATAAAATTATTAAACGAGGTAATATTTTTTTTCTTGCATCATTTTTAACCTGAAAACATAAGATGGTCAAAAATATTTAATTTTAATTTTTGAAGAGGTTAGAATTTTTTTCTTTTGACCTATTGCACATTATTGCAAATCCATGCGTGAAGTTGTTTAGAATGGTAAAATATGCATGGAAAAAAAATTTCGTGAAAAAATATTAAAAACTGTAAGAGAAGATCGATTTTTAATATTCAAATCTTTGAATTTTGCCGAAATTTCGGAAGTCCTGAACCTTTATTTTTTTCCAATTTGATGCTCTGAGTCGAAAAAACATCGTTAAAATTGACGATTAGCTTATTTTCATGGTAAAAACTATAAAAATCATGGCTTTTTGCATTTATTTCGGTATATATAAAGTATACCATAAAAGCTTCGGACTATGATTTTTATGGAATTTACCACGAAAATGAGCTAAATA